CTCTGAAGCTGGCGCTGACCTTCCCCCAGTATCTTTAGATAATCTTCAGAGTGTCTACTCCCAGTTTATAACCTTTCGGAATAATATAGCCTGGAAAATTTTCCCTTTGAAGAATTCCTTCACAAAAAGAATTTCTTCACCTCCATGGTGGGATGCAGATTGCTCCTTAATTATTACAAAACGAAAGGCAGCATAACGGCTATATTAATTTAATATGTATTTGGAAATTATCTAAATTATTAAAAAGTAGCTGGTTAATCCAAGAAACTTCTTTCTGAAAAGAAAAAAAAGGATGGCTTTCATTCTGTGAGAGCCTATCTCCCCGATCTCCTTCTACTCTTGTTTGGAAAAGTACCACGCGCTTGTGTTTTATAAATGATTGCAATCCCTCTTGTGCAGACCCCTCCCATTGGCTAGACGACTTCAGTAACAGACTGGTTCCCCCCTGCGTTCCACTGGAAGAAGACATATTTCCTACCCCCAAACCATTCACTCCTCACTCATCTAACTCATTTACGCTGAACTGCAGTTAGTGCTTAAGCACCTAAAGGATTCCACTCCTGGCATTGATGGTATCCCCTACTCATTTCTTGTTAATATGGGTACTACGTGTAAGCAGTTGTTTTTAAGCATCATCAACTTTACTTTTACAAGCGGTTCTATTCCAGATGACTGGAAAACACATTTTTAAATAAAACTAATTTTACGGATTTTATCGCGTATATTAACTTATTTTTATATTCCCGACGTTTCGGGTGCTTTCCAGCACCCGTGGTCACGGGGGACTGAGTTGTTTGACGTCCTGCTGTCATAGTTAGCCCGGCTACCTTCAGTTTTTTTTTTAAATGTGTAGTGTTCGCGTAAATATAAGAAATCATTATGGAAAACACATATTATTATACCCATTCTAAAACCTGGCAAACACCATTCTTCAGCATTAAGTTATCGCCCTATTGCTATTTCATCAACGTTGTCTAAATTATGAAGCATCTCGTAAAAAATTGACTTCAGTGGATTCTTGAAAATAGAGGCATTATATCAAAGAGCCAATTTGGTTTTAGAAAAGGTTTAAGCACAATGGATAGCCTTAGCATCTTAGTATCCGATATAAGAATTGCCTTCTGCAATAACAATTTTCTGGTTGGCGTTTTCATTGATGGTTGTGCGGTATGTGATGATGTTGTTCTCCACACTGCTCAGGTGAAAAATGCATTAGCTGAACGTTCCTAAGAGAATCAAAAATTTCGTATCAAACCTACTTTCGCACGTTCTGAAGGAAGATTTCTAACAGCTAGATTTATCTGGAAGATACTTTTTTATAGAATAAGGGTGACAAACGAGCATACAGTCCACCTGATGGTAAGGTGTTACTGTGGCCCATAGACATCTACATCTATCCTCGTTTGCGAATCCAAATGCAGATGTGTTGTAATCCGTGAGGACTAAGATGGAATGTCTCTTTTTGAGTAAAAAGGGTCTCCGGTTCTCTACACTCACCATACGAAACACAGCAGTGTTAAGCTGCTATTTCACGTTGGTATTCTGTGAGAGCTTGGTCCTTCCCCGGTCAAGCCGACCCATTCATGGCTCTACCACGTAGAAACTAGCCCCACTTGGATTTTTTAAATATTTTATTAATTGTTCGACGTTTGTTCGTTATTGTACGAACATAAAAATTGTTTGTTCGTCTTTTAATTATTTATAATTAATAAAACAAGTTTCATCCTTAAGTTGGCCCCCTTATTGTAAATTTTAACTTTTATCTCTTGAATTAGTTAATTTTTATTAAATACCGTTTGTTCGATCGCTATTGACGATGTTTAGATCATAAATACAACTTACTTGTCAATTATTCAATATTTCTAAGCAATCAACGGAGCCCCGCTCCTATTACTAGGTGGTTTATAAAAATAACTACGAAGGGGATAGCGGGCTCTATTTGCTCGCTTTGCTCTCTCACTCTACCCTGCCATCCCCTTCTAAACTGACCTGTCCGAGTCGGGGTGCTCCTAGTCACTGGCTCGCTTCACTCGCTTTTAAAGTCAATTATTAACAATGAAATTGTATTTATGATCGAACAAACATCAGTAGCGATCGAAAAAAAATAATAAATTTAAGGTGTAAAAATTAATATTTACAATAGGGGAAGGGGGGGGGGGCAACTTAAAAAACTTAAATCAAACTTATAATCAATCTATTCCATAGAATAATAAATATGTAGCAAGATCTATTCTATTCAGTTTTGGTGGGAACTAGACTCATGGCGGATTGCTGCTCCTGTATTATTGTTTAAATAATGGTTTGAAATAGAAACAGAAACAGAAACTTTTTTATTCAATATAGATTATAAATAATACTTATTGAAAGTCACTCTTTTGTTTGATTACCACTGGTTCGGAAAAAACCTCTGTCCTGGGAAGAACCAGCAAGAAACCCAGCGGGACTTTTTTTTTAAATAACAGCTTACAATCATGATGTTACACAAATTAACAACACCACAAATTAGAAATAGCTTGGTAGCGATCACCTCATTTCCAGGGGTTATTATCATCCATAAATTCCTTAATATTATAATAACCCTTTTTATACAAACTTAGTTTAATAAAGTTTTTGAACTTTGAGCAGGTCAAACTTTGTATATTGCATGATGCATATCATATGCATGATGTAAGATAAGGTCAAAAATTTTATAATCAGTAATATAAAATTTCGGTCGTCCGTCTGTCAGTACCGTAACCGTAAGTACGGTTGAAAAACGAAAAAAAAAAACAACGACAACCAACCACATATGAATACTTTTGTACCTCCTTTTGTTGTTACATGTTTTGTCATTAATTCATTATAAAATATATCGAAACTGATACGAATTCAATACTCTAAAATAAATATCGACATATCGCGTTTTTTAAAAAATCGACGATACATTTCGATATGTTTTACCTACGCTGGGCGCATTTTAAATCATATACAGAAATGATAAACTTTATGATTTGTGTTTATAAATTACATATAACTTTATCAGATAAAGTTGTATGTAATCTATAGATGTGCCTACTTGGAAAAATTACAACTCGAAATTACGACTCGAACAACTCGAGTTAAAATTCACGCAACTCGAGTTTAAACTCGAGTTACACAACTCGAGTTAGCAGTATGAAACAGAGTAAAGTATAAATTTGTTTTTTTATATAGCTCTTTGATGGGTTGGGATTTGGGATAACCATAATTACCAAACTGATTATGTAGGATTGAAATAAAAAGGTAAATTTAGTATGTATCACACACTTATGTATTTTTGGTTTTAATATTAGTTAAAGTAAGTACCTCTATTTAACAACAATACTAGCTATATAGCAGTCTCCACGAAATAATATTAGTCTAGCTTTAAGATGTAGGTACATAAGCTATTAATAGTTTAATTGTCATAGTTAAAATATTCTTAAATAAGTTCAAACTTTTTCACATTCAAAATATTTATTGTAACTTAAGTGTTACATTTGGCGTTAATTTGTGATATTAGGTCTGTGACTTATTTAACTATAACTATTATCATCATCATCATCATTACAGGCTTTCATAAGTCCACTGCTGAACATAGGCCTCCCCCAAGGAATGCCACAAAGCACGGTCCTGAGCCACCTGCATCCATCGACTTCGTGCATGTCTTACCAGGTCATCACTCCATCTAGTGGGGGGTCGCCACATATAATCATAATTAATCAAAATAATAAATTAAATTAAATTACATAACTTAGCTGTTATAAATCTCTAAATAACAAATTGTTTTATTCACGCGCTCTTACTCTTATGCTGGCTCACTTGATTCTTTCATGTACAACAGCCCAAACTCAAGATAGGGAGATACAACTCGAGTTGACCCATAACTAATGTAATCATAAATAAATTATAATAATAACAAGAGAATAGCTAAAATGGGAGTTTTGGCGGGAACTTGAACGGCGGTGGCTTACTGCTCCTTTATTATTGTTCAAATAATGGTTTGAAATGATAGTGCTTTGATATGTAAAAGTGGTGCTTGTGCATTAAGTGTCTACGCATGTGAACTATTAGTGGAAACGGTGAAACAAGTGCTCTGATGGTGATGTGATTCTCAAGATAAGGTTGTCTGCTTAGGAGCCTTGAGATACCATTGCCAACTGTCTGTTGGCTCAAATTGCCGTCAAAATCTCCCAAGGACTGCACAATGTGACGCATCAACATATTGTGAAGCAGTGTACTATGAAGGATAATTATACATTGAATAATGGAAGACATGGCTGACGCATAAACCGTTCAGGCCAAGAAATGGGAAAAAAGCTAAGATATTTTTATCTTTGGAGAAAAGTTCGGCATTAGGTTAGAACGTAGAGAGAGAATAAACTACCATATAAATACTCCCTCTAGCCTTCTACGGGTTAGAATCACAAACCATAGATAACTAAATATTTAGCATAGATATATGAAAAATACTATTTTTCTTATGTCTATGATATGTAGTCACAAACTATAAAGAATGACTACGCGTGGTTAGAATCTACAGACCAGTGTTTCTATATAGTTTTAGTTTGTGGAATCTACTAGTTAGTCTGCAATACAATGTACTCTGTGTAAGGCCCGCCATATACATACGGAATTCTGTTTCGAGATTCCGTTTCGGAATTCAGAACGGTCGCCCACACACAAACGAAATCCCGTTTTGCCCGCAAAATATCGAACGGAAAACTACCGTACGTGTGTGGCGGGTCATAGATTTTATATGGACTAGCTGCGTTCGGGATTCCGAATCGGAATATCGAAACGGAATTCCGTATGTATGTTGCCGGCCTTAGTCTATAAAGTTCGGTTTGTTTAACTTCAGGCTCAGAGGGGCTAGAACCCAGAGCCGTAAAGCCAGTTAATAAAAAAATCGGTTTGTTTATGAAAAAGAGAATTCAAAACATACCTAATTAATTTAAAAATCTTAAATCTAATAGGTTGCTACATATATATTTATCTGTTTTAAATAAAGCTATAGAAAACAACAATGGCCTTTAATGAAGGTGAAGTTTGTAGAATTTGTTTAAGCGTTAATGTACGCATGTTTGCACTAAAGGAGACTGGCCTCCAAAATTTGTATAAGACATTGACGAACAGTTTTGTAAGTTTTTTAATATTTATTTATTGTTAAATGAAGTTGCGGTAATTTGTTGTTCTCACTGGAAAAACACATTATAGTGCCCGATATATGTTCTAAGGTGTAGCTTTAAATATAGTACAAATACAACCAGAACCTGAAAAACAACAATTAGCCTGGTATCCTGGGTCGCACTAAAATCAGTATTATCATTTAACTAAAGCTTAGTCGGATATACTTGGGTACGAAAGGAGCGACATGTTGCGCAACATGTCTTTCAACTACTATGTGGAATGTCCCGAGACATGACGCGGAACTTTTTGCAGGTCACACTCGGAACTTTTTGCAGGGTCATTTATCGCATTAAAAACTATCCTATCTCTCAAGTTGGACCAAAATGCACACAGTGTGCAAAATTTCATTGAAATCAGTTCAGCAGTTTAGGAGTCCATTGCGGACAAACAATGTGACACGTAATTTTTACATATAAAGATAATCGGATCTTCCATAGCCAAACAGGATACTATACTACGGAATGCTGTTGCCCTCATATCGGTATCAGACTTGCCATTGCATTAAGATACTTGTCAACTGGAGTTTGTTATGCTTCCTTGTCGTACACTTTTTGAGTGTTGAAACAAGTGATTGGCAGAATAGTACCAGAAATTAGTGGTTAGAAGTATCCCATAACAAAACATCTCTCTGGTAACATTCAAGAAGTAAAAGCACGGTTTCATTTCCCCACACAACTGACATGTTGCAAGTAAAGTTGTACAAACAACTACACCCGGTAACAAATGACATGACACTGACGCTGGACACGTGCACTTGCGAGGGAACTCTCGGAGAGGGAACAAGCAACATGTCCTGCATCACTTACAATGTTCCGGGTCATTGTGCAATGTTGCATCGTCATGTAGATTGAGCGTTTCACATCATCTTGCAGGACAAAATGGCACCTAGTGTATCCGGGGCTTAATTGTACTACATACTAAAAGATATGCCGAGACTGTTTGCAACACGCGTTAGAGTCCGCGGGCCCAAATTTACTGAGCCTGTGTCATAAAAAGGGATCCTGTGCCTCCTTCCATGCAACTTGCACTGCTGCATAGATTTTGTTCCTGGTGTCTGTTCAAGTACATATTATTACTTGAATGAGTATTATTGTGATTTTCCATCAAGAAATTAACATTTATCCTGGTTTGGTTGTTCAGCCAATTAAAACAGTTCTATTGGACTATTAAAGTGAGAGAATAGAGTAGAAAGACTTATTATCATTATTTTATATGTGATAGAGCCAGGCTGCAGCTATATTATGGTTGTATCATGGATGGATCGGCTCGACCGGGATGGTACTACACTTTCACAGAATGTGTAGTACCACCAACCACTCTGTGTTTTGTATCAATATCCTCCTACCACAAGCATTATCAGTTTACTTAGAGCGATAAGAGAAGTATTTGTAATGTTCTTAGTGATGATAGCAGTTTGAAGTTAATGTAGGTAATGTAGTTGATGGATGTAGGTGGCTTGGAACTGTAGGAGTTTCTTTCTGCCTAGATATCATCCTCTTACTATTTTCTGGCACCAAGCAACAGTATGTACCCCAGTCTGTTTGTTTGTCAGTTTATTTGTCACTTCAATATTATAAAAAATGATGTTGACAAAGTGAAATGTGGTAGCTAATAGATTTTATTACAAACTAATATATTTAAGTAGTATTCCATATTTATAAAGATATTTCATATTTTCAGATGGATGAGAATGAGGGGCCAATAATTGTCTGTTTCACCTGTCATGCAAGACTCATTCGTTGCAGAAGATTACAACAACAGGCTATTGAGTCAAATGTGGTTCTGGAGCAGTTGCTTGCAGGAGGATCCATGGTATTATCCATCCCATCCATTAAATCCTATAAAAGTCCACTGCTGAATATAGGCCTCACTCATAGATTGCTTCATAGGAGGGATTTTGCCAAATTTGCCACACTTGGCAAGTTGGCAACCATAGTTTATATTAGTTGGAGTCATTATCAGGAAGATGCTGCTGTCCAACCCCTGTTTCTGTTTCCCTCTATTGCGTCTTACGACACCCATCCAGTGGATAGGTATATAGGATAGTGGATATTCTTACACCGTCACTACATGTCATATGAGAGAATGTTTCTAGTGCAAAGTTAAGTTTGTCCTTCAATCCAACTTACTTTTTTGTTAGAGCTATAGTACTTATTTTTACAAAAACAATTATCCAACTGTTTATACTGTTATATATTACCTTATTGTATATAAACAAATCTCAATAAACAAAGATAAATCGTTGTCAATTTACAGCTTTTGTAACTCTGAATTCAAAAATTGTTGAGACTCGATTCTCGGGATAGATGAACTATGTACATCCTTATTTAAGTTTACTCTGAACCCTTACTTTTGTCCGGTGTTTATTATTATTTGAAGTTGTTGTCATGAAAATGCTGCCCCCTGATCTCCTGTTTCAGTTTCCCTCTGCCTCTTTTTACGACATCTACGGGATGGCAGGCGGTAGTATGGGTTCTCCTACTCCACCATTACAGTGGCTTTTTCTTTTATTTGAAAAAATTATTTCCTTTCAGTCAATACCAAAACTGCATAAGGTTAGAGGAGAGATTAAATTCACACCAATTTATCATATGGATATCTGGCCTGTAGAGTGTGATATAGAAAATGATTGCAAGGACGAAATTTTTTGCCTTGATGCCGTTAAAGTTGAGGAGGAGATTTTCGAATATGAGAATTCCGAATTGGAAAAAAATGAGAATCATGAAACAGGTAAGATATAACCCCTTTTTTGATATTATTAAAATAAGGTACAAATAGTACCTTATGGCAAGTGGTTACTGTAGCCCATGGACACAAAATAAACAGGGCTTCATGTGTAATCTATACTAATATATTAAAGCGGAAGAGTTGTTTTGTTTGTTTAAACGCGCTAATCTCTGGAACTACCAGTCCGATTTGAAAAATTCTTTTTGTATATTAAGCTATATCACTCAGCTAGCCCTAAATATGGATATTTGTTAAGCAAGTCAGAAGAAAAAGCACTCCCGAAATGATTTATCCGCGTACGCTGGTGTTATCATTAGGGATATGTAAATACAATGTTCTAGAAAAATATAGATCTTTACTCCATCTAAAAAAAAATCTGCAATACCATATGTCTATTTCTTATACATGAGCCATAAATAGGTATTTTGTGACAAAAAAATATTGAAGATTTAAAAGTGATTAATGAGCGTTATTATTAGGCATGGCCTATTTAACCTTACGAACGAAAGTTACTTCATCATCAAAACAATTTTATGAAGATAAACTTTGTTCTTTATACCATGTTATTTGGATACATAGTTTAAGAGATAATGTAAAATTAAAATAATTCAATACTTGGCTGGGCGCGCGAACGACACATAAACCCTAGCCGCCCGGTGAGAACTGCGAGAACTGCTCAACCGGGAGGGGGAGGGAAAGTGGAGTGGAAAAGTACTTAGCGGTTAGCCACCGTAGAGTCTATATCACCTGAGGATGCCTCGTGTAGAGGCGAAACACGTGTCGTATTATCGTCAGTGGTGTGTCTTGCCTAGTGTAGTGGTGTTGGAAGTAGCGGTGCTGGGATTAGTGGTGACGGGGATAGTGCACGCAATTGAGGGAGGGCGGGAGGTGCTTCTTCATACTAGGTAAGACACATAATTTTATTTTATAACGCGGATATTTGCGAAGTAAATTTTTGTAAAAGCTTTTATATAATGGATTTCCGCAAAGTAACGCCTGATTCTATTAATTAAAGTACTCCATTGCTATCAAATAAAATATTTAATTGTCATTATAAAATGCTTGAATTAGGTATCATGTCATGTCGTGCATCTCGGACACGTGTTGACGCGGGTGAAACCGCGGGGCACAGCTAGTGTATTGATATACTGATTTGCCTTTGTCTATATTCAAAGTGCATGTCAAAAGCACTCTTATCAATACATTTAAAAAAAATTGACCCTGTATAAATGCAGCCAGTATGTATGTCACTAAGATACACACTGGTAAGCAACCAATTATCTTTGCCATCTTCTTAGTGTCAGTACTAGGTGGTGTAACCCCATTTTGCCTAGGAGTTGATCTATTTGTGCCTGCCCAGATGGACTCCTCCCTCCTCCTCTTACCTATTTCTGCTGTCAAATACCAGTGCGTGCACTGCTGTGTTCCATTCTGATGGGTATAGAGTCAGTGTAATCACAGGCTGTGGGTCATTCCGTCTTAGTCATCAGAGATGAGCGCATTGCATCATTAAATCTTCATCATTACAACCTTCACAAGTCCACTGCTGAACTTAGGTCTCACTCAAGGAATGCCACAAAAACACATTTGTTACCAGTTCGTCACTCCATCTAGTGGAGGACCGCCTTATACTTCGTCTACCGGTACGAGGCTGCCACTCGTGAAACTTCCTCATTCATTGCTTCAACCTACATGGCCGGAATTTCAAATTTCCAACAATTAATCCAGCATTTGAAAGAATGATGTTTAATGTAGGGATTGAATAACCGAAAAAATTATGGTTAAAACGGTTAGCGGTATGACGTCATACCTTTAAATTTCGATACCTTAAAATAACTGTACCTGTATAATTTCGATATTGCAATATTGCGTTATCATTAAACCTAAATTATAAAATAAAGGTTTTCTTTGTACCCTGCTGCCCGCGCCGAGGCGTCACGCGGCGCGTCGGACGCAATGGTAAGAGAGTAGGTACTTAATCGAATATTTATTGATATTCGTTATTCGTGGCTTGGCAGCAAGACAAAGCAAGTTGTTTTGCCATTTTGCCGCCATTCTTGTTTCCGCGCCTACTTTGTTTATCAACTTAATCACAAGTCGTACCTTGAGAAGAACAAAAGCAATATTCTATCTTATCTTGAACATTGTTTAGATGTTTAACTCACTGTTCTTACATTTGTTAAATCTATATGTCAATAAAAACATTTATTATTATTATTTATTATTAATAGTGTAAAAAGTACATTATCCAGGCGAGCGAAAAAATTAGTTATTTCTTAATATCTTTATATTGAAGAATCTGGCAATTTCTTAAATTAATGAAAAAATGCTTTAAAATACTATTTTCATTAATTAAACAAGCTAAAAATAGAAGTAAATATTTAATAAATTATTAACTTTTATTTAAATTACGCTACTCTTTATTAGCCTCTTTTTTTTTTAAAAGAGAAATGTATAAATAGATACAACAATGTTCTTTACAAAATTAATAATTTTAGAAAAAATATTCGTGAATACATTACAACGGAATGGAATCAGTCTGAAAAGCAAGTAATTTTTTCACTGAATTAATTTGTTGAATAATAAAAATAAGTACACTTTATGCCTTTTTCTATTTGAAAAACTTCTTATGACGGTAGTATACTCTGTTATGTAAAAATTACTTAATTATTTAATGAAATAATAAAAAGCATATTATTTTTCAAATCAAATGATTTGTATTAAAATAAAAAGCAGATCATGCCGCAAACAGTCATGAAAAAATTTCTCACCTAAAATTTAATTAAAAAATTAACGTTATCTTACGTATGAAATGAGATCATGGGATTGAAAATTATTTAATAATTGTGCTACATTATTATTTAGGAACCTTCCATGTGGAAACAACTTATCCTTATAAAAATTAAAAACAGCATCTAACGTGCATAACGAAATTAAAACCTACGAAGTTTAATAATTAAATTACAATTTATTACTTGGAAACTATTGAACATGAAAACAACCATAAATATTAAAAACAGATCTTACATGGACTAGGATATTCGCAGTTAAGAATATCCACTACCTCATAATATCTTCCCGTGGGTGTCATATGAGGTGACAGTGGGAAACAGCCAGGAGATGGGCAGCAGCATTTTGCTGATAATAGCAATATTACATTAAAAAAACTTCGGTTGCCAACCCGCTCGCCAAGCGTGGCAACTATGGCAAATATCCCCCTGATGGAAGTTACGAAGAGACGGCCACCAGTTCCCGGCGGCCCCGCTATTCCTGGATACTGTGGCGACCATAGTAAAGGTTCGGTTGCTACCTAAGACGACTCGACCTGGCAACATACAACGCATGCACCCTAAGGACGGGCGAGAAGATCCTGGAGCTAGAGGAATAAATAGACAAGTTACGCTGGCAGATTATAGGAATATCCGAGTTCTGAAGAGAGAGGGAGGACATGGTAATCCTCGATTCCAGCAACTTGTTTTATCAACGGGAGGGCGACCATCTGTCCGGTGACGGATTTATCGTCCACAAGTTTCTCGTTAACAACGTTGTAAAAATTGGGAATGTGTCGACGATAGTTTCGTACCTTACTCTCAGAATTACCAAACAGTATTCGTTGAAGGTGATACAGGTTTACGCGCCGACCTCGGCAAATATAATGAGGATGTGGAGGAAATGTGTGTGGATATATCTAGAGCCATGCATTCCTCCAAAACTCACTATAATGTTAATGTAAGACTACAACGCAAAACTAGGCACAAGAGAGAACGGTGAACTGAAGATAACGAAATTTGGAATAGGGCAACGGAACCCAAGGGGCCAGAACCTGGCCGACTTCATGATGAAAGATCGACACTTTATTATGAACCCTTTCTTCTAGAAGCGACCCTACAGAAAGTAGACTTGATCGAGCCCCGACGGTTCGACAAAAATGAAATTGACTTCATTATGACTGTTTAGGCCCAAAAATAGTCATTTGATACGCCATCCAATCACGTTCGACTTATGGCGGCTCTTCACGTTGGCCAACACAGTGGCGAATGTGTTGGCAGAGATATTGGCCAAGAATTTGTGATCGCGTCCACACGTTGGAAGGTCGTTCAGTTTGCTTCGATTCATGCCAATGTGCGGACGAATTTATTAAAATGATTATTGAAGCGCTAACGGCTGTTGCGGTTTATTTATTCACATCATACCACTATTTTTTTATTTAATTTTCACTATTTTTAATATTTAATATTTTTAATATACATTTTTAATATTTCTTTATTATACACTAACGTTATACAGATAAGTAAACTATATAACCATTAACACACCTAGGCATAGGTATAATTAACTAAGGCCTGGAAAATATTCGAAGCCTGTCTATGAAACTGTTGTAAATTTTTTATTAAACAAAACCTTTTAAAAAAGGGATATTATATAATTATAGAATATATTTATTTATTTACACTTTCATGCACAAAGTAGTACATATGGCGAACTTAATAATAATAAATAATTTATTTCGTCAAACATTAAAGTTACATTATATGATCAGTGATCGAGGTCACCTAGTAAGCAAAATAATGCCTGTAACAGGTGACTTCGCTCTTCCATAGCTAAAAATTACAGTATTATTAACGAAATAAAGTACCTAACTAATAGGGAATAATAAAGACAGTAAAAACATGATTTTAGTATCCTAACTTTTAATTTGATTTTAATATCTTACCTAGTCTCCTGGCATTAATAAATAAATAAATCAATTAATACATCAATGAATAAATTAATACATCAATCACTACAACGTGAATGTTTATAAGAAAAGGGTGATCAAAAAGAAATGGAAAAAAAGAAATTTTATTTCTTGGCGGCTCCGTGGCGTAGTGGCTTAGCAATGAGTTGCTGCGCTGGAGGCCGCGGGTTCGAATCCCGCATGGAACAAGTATTTGTATAGCCTGCACATAATTGCTCCGGGTCTGGATGTTTGTCCTTATGCAATTTATGTTTCTAAACTGCCT